CGACTCATAGCAACCCCTCCTTGGGTTTCCGAGGCAGTGTCACTACGGAAGTAGGATTGCCCAACCTTCCTTCCGAGGAGTGGCTGGTGGGTATGAACAGTCAAGTGCCTTAGGCACTATGCTACCAGAGCAACCTTGAAAATCCTACAGAAAATTTCTAATCTGTCCTAAAATTGTTGCTATAAAGCCAACTTCTAATCATTAAAGAAAGAAAATTATTAATTTACCAAATAAATAATCTTCTAGAAAAAAAAAAATTCTGTCAGTTCACCAAACTCTGAAGAAGGCTAAATAAGACACTAAGTTTTTGTAAGAGACCCTTCTCACTTACCCAACACTGTATATACTAAAAGGAACTCTGGTAGCACAGTGGTTAAGGCCTCAGCTGCTAATCAAAAGGTTAGTGGTTCAAACCTACCAACTGCACAATGTGGCAGTCTGCTTCCATAAAGATTTACACCATTAGAAACCCTTTGGGGCAGTTCTACTCTGTCCTATGGGGTCACTGTAGGTCAGAATTTACTTTACAGCAGGAGTGTTTTTTGTTTTTTCTATGTATAGTGAACTGTTCTTATCAGTTCCTTTGCTAGTTTTTTCTTTATCTGTTTTGTGATCCCTGAGCCATATATTGCCCACCAACATTTTCAGCCTGCCAGGTTTCTTGGGAAGCTGGTATCCCAGCAGTAACATGTGCTCCCACCTAGTGGTGACTGTGTAACTGTGTGAAGCTGAAGAAATGGGCTTCATCCCACCAATCCTGCCACCCGAGTCCACTTGGGACATGTGTCCCACATAATTATATCAAAATCCGTATTAGCTCAAAGAAATTTTCCCTTGATTTCAGCATGCCTCCATTATTTGAAAAAAAAAAAAAGCATCCACAAAAGAATTCAATCATGAAAGGGTTAAACTTTTCTTTGGGGCGGGGAGAAAAACAATCACACAGAAAAATTAATTTTTATATGTTTTTGGGTATAAAGTTCTATGAATTGTACAACTTGTGACCACCACCACAATCAGGATACAAAACAATTCTATTACCCTAAAACTCCCTCCTGCTACCCTTGTAAATGACATCTTCCCTCTACTCCTAAACTCTGGAAGTACTGACAGGTTTCCATTATTATACAGTAATTTCATCTTTAGGAGAATATCATGTAAGTAGAATCATGTATCATATAAATAGAATCACATACATAGTATATAACCTTTTACGCCTATCTTTCACTTAACATAAAGCCTCAAAGATTCATCCAACTTGTTAAATGTATCAATAGTTCCTCCCTTTCTATTGCTGAGTATTGTTTCTTGGCATGGACACAGCACAGTATTTAACCATTCACTTGTTAAAGGACATTTGGGTTGTTTCCAGTTTGGAGATATTGTGAGTATAACTGCTATGAACATTTGAGCACCAGTTTCTATAGGAACAAAGGTTTTCAATAGGAAAATTGCTATATGATCAATGTATATTTTAACTTCATAAAAACCTCCAAACCTAACATTCATTCAAATGACAACAATAATACTAATAACAAAAACTCAGAAATCTTTTTCCAGAGTGGGTGTGCCATTCTCCATTCCTAACGGCACATAACAACAACAACCAGCAATATGTTACAATCCCAGTTGCTCTGCATCCTTATCAACACTTAGTATTGCCAGTTTTTATCTGAGCCACTCTAACAGGTATGTAAGAAACTCTGGTGGTGTAGTGATTAATGCATTCAGCTGCTAACCAAAAGGTGGTCAGTTCAAACCTACCAGCTGCCCTGAGGAAGAAAGATGAGGCACTCTTGTTTGTGTAAAGCCTTGGAAACCCTATGGGGCAGTTATACTCTGTCCTAAAGGGCACTATGAGTCAAAATTGACTCAATGGCAGTGGTTTTGACTTTTGGTTTAATAGGTATGTAGTGATATATCATCATGGTTTTAATTTAACCATTTTAATGAGTATCTTTTCAAAATAATTCACACTGGTAGATACACTTCTTGGAGAGAACAATCATAGGAGAAAGAAGGGCTGTTTATGCACAGGGAGACAGCTCAGGGGGCAGGAGTACATGGAGGGATGGATACAGGGAAGACGTAATTATCAGGAGGAAATGGGAGGGGAGCTGCTGCAGGGTAAATTCTAGTCCAAGTCATGAGAACTGCTGTATGGAAGTGAATTTGCTCTGTAAACGTTCATCCAAATCACAATGAAAAAGAAAAAGAAAAAATAATAATAATTCATACTTATTCACTCGTAAACTGAGACCTATGAACTCATATTTTTCTGACAAAAACATCCCCACAGAAAACACTGCACTCCTCTAGTACATACAACTGTTTCTAAAACAGCTCCAGAATCAAATCTCCTTGTACAGCTTTTAAAAAATCTTCTCCCTTGTTAAGTGGCACTGCTTGCTATTAATGGTGCTCCTGTCTCTGACAGACTTTCCTTTTCACTCTTTTCTGAAGCTGAGTAAAAAATTTATAATTAAGCTTATTAAAATTATATCTAAAAAGGAGTGGGCAGTCTGCAAGTAAGACAGCTTAAAGGACTCTTCCACGAAGAGTTTTTTATTTTGTTGTTTATTTATTTTTCTTGGTCATCGCACCTAAACTTGCTGAAACTTCGTTTGGCTCCTGAGAAATTTCTAGTAGCTAAATTTCTCAGGTTTTTTTCAAAAAAGGTGAGGTTGACAAGTCAGTCACTAGTATACTAATCTGTGTAATTTACACTGTGATTCTACATCAGGAGTTATTAGTTTATTAAGCAAAATACTTAACAGACAAAATTATGTTGTGTCCAGAAACCTAAGTGAAAGAGATTATTTTAAATCCAGTTTCCACTTATTCACACACTGATCAAAAGTCAGTTCCTTCAAAGCATGAAAGATATTCCAAGGGGGGCGAAAGATAAATGAAGCAACTTTCCAATTAAAAGTAATTCAACACTTAAAAAGATACAATGACCAGATACACATTGACTCTGATCATAAGTAACAGGTACAGCATTCCTTTGAAAGTCACTTGACTACTTAAAAATATAGACATGTTGTTACAAAAGTAAAATAACTAAAGTTCACCCTGTCTTTTTTATAGCAATGTTTTCCATCTCTGAACAAGATAAAACTATAAAATTTTATAATGCCTTCTGGAAGTGTATCTAGGAGCTCTGGTGGCATAGTGGATAAGGCATTTGGCTGCTAACCAGAAGGTCAGCAGTTCAAACCCACTAGCTGCTCCATGGAAGGAAGACGGAAATGATCTACTTCCGTAAAGATTTACAGCCTCAGAAATACAATGGGGTTCGCTATGAGTCAGATTCAACTTGATGGCAGTGAGTTTGGTTTTGAGAGTTGGAAGTGTATCACATCTGACAAGTAATATTAACTTGCTTCTTAAAGGGCCCCTAGCTCTTCAGACAGCGTAAGCACACACAAACAATACTTCCTCTCATCACTTCTCCAGAAGAATGGCACATCCTGTGTTTGCCTTCACAAACCAATCACTACTCTTCTAGATGCCTCAACCCAGACTTAAAAACCATTTTCACCAATTGCAACAGGATCATGGGTGGGACTTCCGCTATCATTTTAAGCTTAACTACCACCATCTCATCATAAACAGGAGAGGCAATCATGCAGAGTGAAAATTTCAAACTTTGAGCTCAACCAGTTTCAAGCAGAAATAAGAGAATGGCAAACGAACTGGAAAACCTAGAGTAGCAAGAGCAAAAAAAAAAACAAACCAGCTTCCCCACTAAAAAAAAAAAAATTCTTAAAGGAAACCAGTGAAAAAGAAAACAATTAAAACTTAAAGCCAAGAAAGTATTTATATATTATCTGTACTGTCATTAAAGCTCTCCTTTGGCCCAGTTTCAGCCTAGGAACCACCTGCCAAAAGGACAGTAGAATGTCTGGTAATTTTAAGCTGTGATTATAGAAGGTCACTGCATATTTACCGTGCATAAGAAAAGTAAATCCTGTCAATTCATGCATGTATTTCATGGTATGAAAACTTCTCCAGATTCACATTATCTTATTAGCCCCTGATTTTGAACTACTTCTCTCATGTCAGATATACTAATCTGAAATACTTTTAAAAGTCCTTTTTTACACACTCTTAAGTCACAGAACTGACAAAAACTTCATCAATACGTCAAATTTTACATTTCGTTTAAAACACAAAATCATAGACAATTTCTCTAAACCTTTTATTTTACAAGAATATCTACATACAGTATTGCGTTCTGAAGAACAATTCATTAGCCTACAAGTTTTACTGTCTCACTCACCGAGGAAAGCAGTAGCAGCAGCGCTCTAGCATTTCCACTCAGCTTCTCACCACTGGCCTTGGGGAACCACCCTTACTATTAAAATTTATCCTACTTGCTTCAATAATGAACCTGTTGCTGTGGGGCAATGTGCTAAATTCGAAACATGAGTATTTTGTTAAAGTTTAAGGTTAATCACCTGTCTAACTCAAAAAGGGGGGTAAATACTAAGTCGATTAGAGATGATGACACTGCAATCTCCAAGTTCTGATCTACAGCTACTTACTAAATCCTCAAGTGTTCTTAAAGAAATCTGCAGATACTAAAAAGGCCCACTGACTACAAAGGAAAAAACTCCTACCATCTCGACAACAATGAGGGAAAAGTTGGAAAGTGGTAGCCCTTAATTTACACGGCAAAGTTGAGAAGCCCACAGGCCAGGTTGGCCCAGGGTGCTTAAAAATTACAAGGGACGTTCATCCATCTTGGGACCAGGCTCTGCATTCCAACTCCAGGTCCTCCAGGGCTCGGGCCTGAAAAACTTTTCATCTGAAAGCTCCAGGCCCCACCTCCAACAGTTCAAAAGGAAAATGAGTTCGCGAACTCATCTGACTTCTCCCTGCCCCCAACACAGCCAAAGAAAGCCTGGCGACATTTTGAGCAATCAGGCCTGGCCCCAGGGTGGCGGGAAGGCCCGCGGGCGGCCGCGCGGGCGGCAGGCAAAGCCGGGCCTTACCTTGATGTGGAAGCGGATGAGGGCCAGGCGGATGCAGTGTGCCATGCAGACCGGCGGCAGGAACCAGACCTTGGGCGGCGGTGTGCCCTTGTTCTGGACATGGCTGACGATCTGCTGAGCGGTCTGGCGCTCGTTGCCCTGCCGCTTGACCCACTCGTGCAGCCGGGCCTTCTCCAGGGCGCCGTTAAAGAAGACGAAGAGCTCGATGTTGCCGTTGAAGCAAGCCTTGGCCAGTGCCGCCAGGTACCCGAGCATGTGGTTCCACTGGCCGCCGCTCACCCAGTCCGTGTAAAAGCCGCCGTAAAGGCGGTGCAGGCAGTTGTCGGCATCGATGAGGAGGCGCAGCGGTGTCTGCGGGGGCCGCTGCCGGCCGCCGCCCACCAGGCTGCCCCGAGCCAGCTTCTGCAGCTCCACAGGGACCACAGCGCTAGGGCAGTGTTTCTCGATGTAGTCCTGGAAGCCCTGCACTCCCATGGCGGCGGCGGCGGCGGCGGCGAGCGGGAAGGCCGGCGG